CACGTCTTCTGTTCAACGTCGACGTACATAGACAGCATATCCGCGATTGTCTTATTCAGCCGTTCCGTTAGTCCGTTTGTTCGGGCGTGGTACACCGTCGTTCTTCGGTGATCCGTGTTGCTGTAGCGTAAGATTCCTTGCATGAGCTCTGCAGTGAAGGCCGTTCCGCGGTCCGTGATTAGGACCTCGGGGGCTCTATGTCACAGCACAACTTGGTTAATAAAGAACTTTGCAACTTCTTGTGCAGTTCCCCTCGGAAGAGCTGTGGTCTCTGCGTAGCGCGTCATGTAGTCTGTCGCTACGAAAATCCATTTGTTCGCGGATCGGGATGTAGGGAACGGGCCCAGAAGGTCCATTCCGATCTGTTGGAAGGGCCTCGTTGGGACGGCGATCGGCTGCAGAAGTCTTGCGGGTCTCATCGGTGGTGTTTTTCGTCGCTGGCAGTCACGGCAGCTCCGGACGTAGTGGGTGACATCGGATGTAAGGCGGGGCCAGAAGTATTTCTCCTTGATTTTTGTAATCGCGCGAGCTGTTCCGAGATGTCCGGAAGACGGGTCGTCGTGGCACGCTTCCGAAATTTCGTCACGAAGGTCTGCGGGGATGACAAGTAGATAATTCGTTCTTGTTCCGGGGTTGAAATTCTTCTTCACTAGGATAGGGTTTTTGAGGCTGAACGCTGGTAAGTTGCGCTTGAACGCCCTAGGCACGGCGGCGTTGCGTCCTTCGAGGTAGTCGATCATGGCACGGAGGTCAGGGTCGGCACGCTGCTGGGCGGCTAGGTCGCTCTCTGTCACGACTCCGAAGAACGCGCTGTCTTCATCGGAGTCCTGTGGTGGTGGGTCGACGGGGGCGCGGGACAGGCAGTCGGCGTCGAAGTGTTTCCTGCCGGATTTGTAGACTATTGTAACGTCAAACTCTTGCAGGCGCAAGCTGCACAGCCCAAACGGCATCACCTTGAACTCGTATAGACCGTCCGGGGTTATAAATGCAGTCTTCTCTCGGTCTCTCTCGCCCACTTCAATTTGCCAGTAGCCGGTCTTCAGACCCATGGATGAGAAGTACTTGACGTGGCAGAGATGGTCGAGGGCGTCGTCGATTCGTGGCAGGGGGTACGCGTCCTTTTTGGTGATTTTGTTTAGTCTCTGGTAGTCAACGCAGAATCTTAAAGTGCCATCTTTTTTCTTCACGAGTACAACCGGTGCAGCCCACGGACTTTTCGATGGCTGTATTATGTCGTCGCTGAGCATGTAATCTACCTGAGTCCGGATGGCTTCGCGCTCGTGTGAAGAAACGCGGTACGGTGACTGTCTGGTAGGTCGGGCTCCATCTTCGGTTATTATCCGGTGCTTCGCCAAAGTTGTCTGACGTAACTTCGAGTTCGAGGAAAAACACTCGCTGTAGCGACGGAGCAACTCCAGTAATCTGTCCTGATTTTCTTGCGACAGCGCCGGGTTCACGTCGAAAGGATGTGGCAGCCTGGAAGCATCTGCGCGTGCGCGTTCAAAGGTGGCGACCGCGATCACTTGACTCGCTTCTTGCGTTTCTTCGAGGAACGCAATTGCAGCGCCCTTGTTTAGATGCTGGTACTCCTCGGTGAAATTGGTCACCAAAACGTAGGATCTGCGTTGCTTAAACCGCGCAATGCCTCTTGCGACAGACACACCGCTGTCTAGAAGCAACCTTTGGTCAGTCTCCACGATAGCGTCGACGTCAGGAGCAGCACCTTCACAATAGACGGCGATCATCGAGCTTGCGTGGGGTGGCAGGGTGACGTGATCGTCGGCGATCCTTACAGCAGCACGGTGTCCGAGGTTCGGCTGCGGCGTCGTGGAGTGATCGGAAGAAAACGTTATCGACCTGGTCTTCAGATCATTTATTGCGCATTGGGTGTGTCAACGGAGAACCCACGCAAACTCAGCCTCTTGTACGAGCAGCGGCGGTAGACGTGGTAGGCCTCTCCGCAGTGGTAGCACAGCGGACGATTATCTGGCATTCGCCACACCTCGGTCTTCCTGGGCGCCTGGTTTCGGGTTACAGGGGGTCGGGCGGGTGACATTGGGCGGCGGTACGGCGGGGTCTCTTGATAACGGGTTGGGACGGGTTGGGGTCGACGAACAGCAGCGGAGTAGGTCATCGCTTGTGGTTCGTAAGATGCTTCCGACGGCGTAGAATTCCCCAGTGCTTGCTGAACCTCCTCGCGGACGACGTCAGTGAGGGAGGCGACTTGGGGCTGCGGCGTTGCTGGGAACAATTTCCTCAGTTCCTCGCGAACGACGGCCCGGATGGTCTCCCGCAAGTCTTCTGTCGCCAATCCAGGGGCGTTTACCGGGTTTACCGAAAGGGTGTTGAGTGGTCTATCGTATTGCCGCGAACGCATATCCAAGGTCCTCTCGATCACCGAAGCCTCGGTGACGAACTCAGCGACGGTCTTAGGGGGGTTGCGGATGAGTCCAGCGAAGAGCTCTTGTTTAACTCCCCGCATCAGAAAGCGCACCTTCTTCTCTTCTGCCATTTCGGGGTCAGCTTTCCGGAACAGCATCTTCATCTCCTCAGCGAACAGTACAACACCTTCGTTAGGGTGTTGCATTCGCGTCTTCAACAAAAGGGCGGCTCGTTCTTTCCGCACAACCGTAGCAAATGTTTTGAGGAATTCGCTCTTAAAGACCGTCCAGTCGGTTGGGGAGCCTTCATGGTTCTCAAACCACGTTCGAGCTGCATCCTCCAAATAGAAGACATGACGAAACATTTCTTCGTCATCCCACCTGTTAAAGATGCGGATGCATTCCAGCTTCTCCAGCCACTCTTCCGGGTCTTCACCAGGAGATCCTCGGAATGATTGGGGCTCACGAGGTTGTTGCAGAACGACGGGAGGGTTGGTAGCGCTGGTCATGGTGCCTGCGTTGATCATCGTAATTTTTACGTCTTCTTTCTTCTTTTTATCCGGGAGCAGTCCAAACTCTGGCTGAAGGCCTTGCTGTCGGCGGCTGACACGAGTTGGGCTTGCTTGTCGGCTTGGCAATGGCTTAGGGTTCATGTACCCCGCACCTCCACCAGATGTCACGCAGCAAAGGACGACGCAGTTGTCTATAAGGAAAACCAGTTTATTGGAGCGAACTTGTGCTCCCCTAACAACTGAAAGAATACACAGGCGGCGAAGCAGCGGTCGGTAAAACGACGTGCACGCTAGTGAGCGCCGGCGATCGAATGTCGCGACATCGGCTGTGCGGGAATTCATATCCCTCGGCGCGAAGGTTTCTCGAATAGTCGAATTGTATCGAGAACACTTTAGAAAAACTGAGATTATGCTAGACGCTTCACGTTTGCTCGAAACGCTGTCCCTATCACAAGAGATAATACATGCCGCACACAAAGAACAGAATACGTGCTTGACACACAGCCAACAGTGATAGCACAGGCCGGCGCAGCCAGGCCGAAAAAGCAAAACACGAATAAACAAACCCAATGCATGGTTTGCGGCAATATAATGCACTTCAGTCTCGTTTGCTCCTCTTGGAATGTGATGGACAGATGCCTCTGGATTTTCATTTTCATGAGCATTTTCAATGCTTCATTGTACTGTCAGTCAAGCTTGTGTGGCAGCACATGGCTTCAGTTCAGTTCAGTTTAATTAGCAATCTTTTTTTCACAACCATTCAATATTTTCATACAGTGGTAATGGTCAATACAAAACAAAATGCACATCTGAATAAATAGTGAGAAGGTTCAAGGACAGGAATTGAAAGCTGTTAAAAAGCAACTTGACAGGATTTCTGACCCTAAGCAGTTTGGCTGCAGACATGTGGTTACATGGAAAAAAATAAAACACAACTAAATACATGAGCAATTCTAGTTACAAAGTATGGTCTCTTCATATTGAATACATAATCAGCAGAGATAACAGCACGCTTGGCTACTTATGTCACAAATTTTCGAACGCCCCATCATCTTTGAAATTACTACTTTGTCAGTCATTAGTGCGCCCCAAACTAGAGTATGCCGCAGTAGTGTGGGACCCACACAACGAAAACCTCATCTTTCCCTCAAGAACTTTTTTAAAAGAATTCTGTTTGTTTCATTTATTCCAATTATAACCGCACTTCCAGCATATCTACAATGGAAGCTTACCTATGTCTTCTATCACCAGCATCACAGAAAAAAATAGCTCGCTTAACTCTGATTCATAAGATATACCATCATTCATTTTTTCAAAATTACTTTATTTCACAGCCACGTTACTTATCGCATCGTGTAGACCATCGCTTCAAAGTGGGATTCAAGCAAGACATACCAACACCTTCAGTCATTCCTTTTTTCCTAAAGCATCACGGCAAGGATCCACCTTCCCAATGATACAGTCACCATCAATGATATCAAACTTTTTCGCAAGGCTATAGCTAACATTGTTTAACTTGGAATTCATAACATCTTGTTATTGTCGTAAAGTTGTATGAGCAGGAATTAATGTAATGTTACCCTGTTTGTTCATATTATTGCAAAGCATTTTCTTACTACATAGTATGTACTGCTATTTCTAGTGTATTGTTTTATTGCACTGTTGTATTACGTTTTTGTTGTTATTTACTACCCAAGTTTATATTATTTCCCGTTCACCTCTCCCCTCTTTAATGCCCTTGCGCCTCGATGGTACAATAGATAAATAAAAAATAAATAAAATGCAGCTGCAGAGACATTGTGAAATCGGCATACCCTCAAAAATAAGGTGTACATAAGGCAGAAGAAAATGAGAAAAGATGAGAAATCAACTAGAAATGTAGGTGTAGGTGTAATGACTGTCTGCAGTGGCAAAAGCATTAATGTTCCTGTTCCTCGATTGATACAACACAAACTTTGATATAAAGAACATGGATACAACGAAATATTGATTTTAATGAAGTATTCATAAAATACTCTTGGAAGTCTACATTTTTAATGAATTTTCGAATATGAGAAACCGATTTTCATGTGACAAGTAATAGTGATGTTTTCATCTCTTCGTGCAGCATTTATAAGAGCACAGAACGTGTGCACATGCTCACTGAAGTTGGCACAGGAAAGACTCTGAAGATTGAGAAAGAGAACCTTCCGGACACAGGTGAGGGATGACATGTGGTATAACTCTGCGCTCATTCAGAAACTCTATAGAGCATATTTGTGCAAATAATTGAGCACTTCAAATATTCAAATGAATATTCGAATTTACTTCAGGACGAATATAAATTATTCAAAATTTCGAAATATTCGAGATGAACGAATACATACATACATTGCGTGTGAATACCCTCCCTGCAAAGGTGGTTTCACTGAAGTAAAGAGCTGATATACCGTGATTACACCTATTCAGGCTAAATTCACGTTTAAAGGGACATTAAAGTAAAATAATAATTTATGTCAGAGTGAAAGCTTAACGTATGGCAACCTCTAAAACGACAGTATTATCAAAAGAAGTGCCCTACTTACCGAGAAATCAAAGTAAATGCATGAGAACACATGCGCTACACATAGCACATTCGCAAAATGGTCCAGATGACGTGAGAGGTACCGCCTACAATAAATCACTAGTGATAAAACAAGCTGCACTCAATTAAGAACCTTCCGTGCATCAAGAGATGTAATAAAACGCTGCTTGTTCATTTCTGTTTAATTCATGGAAGAAAGAACCGACGTTAGTGTGGGGAATGACGTTAGTGGTTTATAAGTTCAATTTTCATTTGGTTAAACTGGCTAGGTCGTGCCATCTAGCGGGGCCCAGTTGAACCAAGCCCGTCTGCCATCTCAGAGGCCATGGCACGAAATTGTTCAATGGTCGTTGTTGCTGCAGTGCCTCCTGCTACTTTCGTTTTGCTGTTACTAATGTCGGCGGCCACGCAGTAAAGCCGGGCAATGTTGTGCACAGCAACAGTGACATGAGACATTCCGCTTGAGGCGGGTAATTTGAAGTGTGCTAATTCGATGCAGACCACTTAAACGTGATTTTATTTCTTGGCAAAAAGTAACACTATGAAGTTTCTGAATCGCTATTTCAACAATTAACATTGACTTAATACTTGCCTTTAGTGGTCTTTCAAGGAAAAATGAACATATTGTTGCCATTATGGTTGAAGGATATTAATTAACTGAGCAACATTTATGGTCAGGTATTATAGCGTCGGTAAACTACACCAGCTCACGTCTTCGTTTCCTTCCCTTTGCTCAGCTCATACTCATTACATTCCCAAGTCCTCAGACGAAGCCCTCTGAGCGAGTGAATCACTGTGAATGCATCGGGTAAAGTACCGTATAATGCGGAATATAGGTCGAGGCGGAATATAGGTCGACCCCCTTACCTTGACCAGCAAAAAAAAAAAAAGAAAAACGCGGAATCGTTCACTGCTTCACTTTAGTCAGTCCTCACAGTCCTCCGAGCTGTCGGAGCTCTCCGACGACGACGACTGCTTGTCACTAGCCGCCTCCCACAGCATGTCGTCCTCGGTGCCGTCGAGAGCGTTGCTGATGCAGCACTTCTTGAATGCGCGCACCACCATCTCTTCAGGCAGAGACCTCCATGCCTCGGAGACCCAACCACAAACTGTCGCGAGAGGTGGCCTGCGCAGCCGGCCTGTCGGGGTCCGCGGGTTGTCGCCAGCCATCCATTCGGTGTACAGCGCACGCACACGGTCTTTAAAAGGTTTATTGAGGACGACGTCCAACGGTTTGAAGTGTTGATGTCATTCCTCCCGGAATGACGACAAGATCCGTCCTTCCGTCGCGAAGGCTCTCCTTCACCGATGCTGTCAAATGCCCGCGAAATGCATCCAACACGAGCATGTTCCGGCGCTGCAGGAGGGCTCCGGGCCGCCGGTTCCACACTGTGCGGATCCATTCGCGCATTAGGGCCTCGTCCATATACCCCTTCTCGTTGACGCGGACGACGACATCCCGCGGGAAGGCCTCCTTCGGCATCGTCTTCCGCTTGAAGATTATGAAGGGGGGCAACTTTCTGCCGTCGGCCGTGCAGCAAAGCATAACGGTGAAGCGCGAATGCTCGCTACCGGTCGACAAAAGCCTCACCTCTTTTGCCCCGCGTTCACAAACAGTCGTGGACGACGGCATGTCAAACCACACCGGCGTTTCGTCGGCGTTGCCGATCTGGCCTAGCATGTAGCCATGCTGCCGCCGGAGGTTGTTCACATAGAGTTGAAACTCTATCAATTTGTCCTCGTACATCTCCGGCAGCTTCTGGCATATCGACGTGCGCCGTCGAAGCGCAAATCCTTTGCGTCGCATAAAGCGACGGACCCAATAAATGGATCCCTTGAAGTCTTTCTTTGACAGGCCGGCTTCACGGGCGAGCTCGACGGCTTTTGAGCGAATGAGCTCCGCATTCACGGGAAGGGATTTGGCACGGTACTCGCGGACGAAATCCGCCACTTTGTCCTCGAGTTCCGGGTGCACAGCTCGGCGACCGCGAAACGACGTCTTCCTCGCGTTACACACTGACAGTTTGGATTTTTGGTTGCGCCAGTATCTGACGCTTTTCTCGGACACTCCAAACTGCCGCTGTGCCGCCATGTTGCCATTCACTTCCGCGAATTCTATAACTTTTCTTTTAAACGCGGCGGTGAACTGGCGCCGCGTCCCGGTATTCATAGCTGGTCGCAGAGTAAAAGTCGCCACTCTCTACGAACACGAAATGAACAAGAAAAGAAAAATGGCGTCGGCAGAGGCGTCGGCCCATGGAGGCGATGTCGATGCTGATGCCCAAAAAACATGCGACACTCCCTGTTGCCAGACGATCACTTTGTTTATGCCAAGGGCCGGTATATAGGTCGAGGGGTGACTTTTTAGCGAAATTTTTTGGAAAAAATCTCGACCTATATTCCGCACTATACGGTTAGCTTAAGACGGGCAACATGTACCAACTAGGTTCGGCTTGAACAACGACCAGCCGATGTCAAGCGTGCAACTATGTGTGTCAAATCGCTCAAGCGATCAACGATGAGGAACAGGCCCGTATACTGGGGAAACAACTTTCACATAAACCACGCTTGCGTTGGGAGGAGGGGGGTCCCCAGCCACACAGTCTCTTTGCTGTTTGAGGCAGACTGATGTCGGTGGTCATAGCGTTCTTTTGATCGCGGCTCCTATGCTGCTGTGTGAAGAAGAGCTATTCGTCAGGCTTCTGCAAGACGCAGCATCTTGGCAGACTATTATTAAAGTCAAATGGTAGTACTGTGTCGATGCAGCTTAGTGGTGGAAGTGTATAAGTGAGGTAAAGAGGACTGTATTCTGTGTCATGTTTTGCAGTATTGTAAGCGTAAGTGATGAAGGGGCAATGTAATCCCAGTCTTTGTGGTTAAAGATACATACATGGCCACCATATTAGAATTTTTTTCGTGCGCTCTACAAGTCCATTTGTGCGACGGTGATAAGGTGTTCAATGGTGGAACTGCGAATCGCATAGACAAACCAGTTCTTCTACGGCGTCTCCAACAATTTGATGACCACGATCACTCATTATCCCACGGAGAGGACAATGCTGCAGTGTAATAAATCAAAGCAAAAGCTTTACAATGCACACAGTTTTTGAAGATAGTATGGCCGCTGTTTTGGCAGAGCAGGCCAAGCATAGCTCAGCATACTCACTCACACTCACTTGAACATAGTGAGTGGGAGTATGAATGAGCACTCATGAGTGTGAGTATGAGCGTGAGTGAGTGAGTATGAGTGTGAGTGGACGTGAGTGTCAATGCGAGTGAGAACTCATGAGTGTGAATGAATGTGAGTATAAGCACCAGTGAGCATAAAGAGACACGGCGACACGCACACAGGGAGTGGTCGTGCTGAGGAATTGAGAAGTCCTAATGGTGCTGACGTTATCTCGTGGCCATTGACAAGACATGCAATATGAGGCTGCAAAAAGGTTTTATTGCGATGTCATGCTAGCTCGGTAACAAATGTTTCAAGTTGGAAGAAAAAAAGGTAGCAGAACTATAGCAATTGGAAAATATTTGAATTTTTATCGAGAGATAACTGTCACTTGTGCTGCAAATTTCGATTGGCCAGTGTTTCGAAGGCGCCGCCAGATACGCTGAAAATCGCGTGGCTGGCATTATGTCTATTCTATGCCATTTGTGTATGTCGTGCCGATGTGTGGCCTGGTGCCGCCGCGGTGCATTGTCACGTCGGCCCCAGTCTTGGTGAGGCGGTGCCATCGCCGACGGCACCTCCTTTGTGTCTCCCTTCTCTTGGAGTGCGCTGCTTGTTTGGCAGTATTGTGTTCAGAAAAAAGTTTTAGAAAGTTACGGAAGTACGTAACGCAAATACGATGATGATGATGATGATATGTAGCATTTCTTGGTGCAGGCATCATTTGATGGCCAAAGAGCGCCAGTACATGAGACAGGAGAAGTGGGCTATGGGTATGGTTACTGGATGTACAGAGACCTGAAATTTCTCACGCTAAGATGGATAGGACATATATATATACAATAAAATCATAAAAGTGACATGAAGTGTGTAGTGTAAATGGGTGGAAAGCGATTGTGATAATAGCTATTGCAGCAGAGACCTCTTTTCAGAGGTCGCTCTGCAGACTACCTGGGTAAATTGCATGAAACCAAGGAACTTTGATTGGCTATGCGTGGCTAAAAAGAGAGTGAGTGAAATTCGTGGAGAGTTTTCGGGCTTTGCATCATGGGCGCAAAGTAAATTGTTGCAGCTGACTGGTCACAGTACTATGGTACCCTGCAATATTCATTGCGGGAAACTAATATTGTCACGGGGTCGCGACGGGGTCGAAATTAGCAGACTACTATAACTTCAGGATGAAACTGTTTATTTGAAGAAACTTGTGGCCCATAAACTGAAGGTCAGATTACAGCGATGCGATGCCCACTGGCACTGAGAGCCGTGAACAGAGCGTCGACCGTCGATCAACTGACAAGCCGTGAAGTGTGTCAGCAATAATACGCGTGCCGTCGAATAATCTAGCATTATCCCTAGCGGCCGCCTAGGTTTCAGAATAATCTGTAATGTTCCCGAAGTGGGTGCAATCTTTAAAACGATCTGCTACATTCCTAAAGCTGAACACTGCAGGTGCGGTTTGTGCTGAGAATTACTGACAGTGTAATGGGGCGGGAATAACACTTGAGGAAGGAATGTGGCACTATGGTACAAGGTCTTGATTATGAGGTCTGTGAAATGGTATCTGGGGATGAAATTTGAAACGGTGAGAAACGAGGCAGTATTTGGTACTCGTCATGCATAAACAAGAATAGTGTGTTGAGTGAGTTTACATTTAACCTCGATATGATGAATGCGAGTATATTGAATTATCGGCTATAATGAAGTAAATGAAAACTAGTTTTGTCACAGATGCAGTGTTTCACATATACATTTTTAAGGTGTTTCCGGTACAATAAAATATTTTTGGGGCAGATGTAACTTGGTTACAATGAGGTTGTATAGACCTTCTGTGTGCTTGTATTTGCAGTCGTGTGGAACCCATGGGCTAAAATGGCAGCTAAACTGGAAGACCTCGATGTGAATGAGTACATGCACATGCTGTGCGTGGAACCGGGTCATGTGGTTCAGCCTGTTCTACTGGAACCCTCTCAGCACTTCCGTGCCGCCTGCACATTCACAGCCTGTGATGGATAGCCGTGGCCGAATAAATGGCTGGCTGCTGTCGAACTCCGACTCACAACAGAAAAGTTTATTTCAAGAATACATAAACATAAAAGCAAAAATACAAAAATGTGTCTGCATTGTGGAGAAGTGTTGAAAACTAATGGAAAAAGTAACATAGCCAACTAACACCTAATAATGGCACAAGTGCTGAGAATATAGGCAAACTCTTTGTCTGTAAAAGGTGCCGATGCCTCGCTTATGCATACTTCACATTAACATGCGCTACACCCAACCATGCTGCTGTACCAACTACTCAACTTTCGATGCTATCGTTGACATGTCTGATGTTTAAACAGCTCCACTGTGGTCCAAATACCTATGGGGTGGGGGGAGGCTGGAACGTTCTCTACAAGTGTCTCCCCTTGAGATTTAGCTATTCGACATCATATATTTGAATTAGTCGACACTTCAGTGTAGGGCATTCAATTTTCTTTAATATGCCTTTTATCTTGTCGCATGTACCTGTGTTGCTTTACCTCTATGTGTGAGACTACTTAAATTAGAAGTATTGCTCGACTAGTTTAGGGAACTCGGAAGAACAATGCAATTACATGAACTGAGAACCCATGTTACCTTTTAAATTGCACTTCAGAACACAATTTTAGTTATGTTATTGAAAATGAAGCCTGCATTTATAAAAACAAAATGGCCATCATGGCAAGATGTGGGCCCCTCTTTAAGAAATTTCTGTATTTATGCCACTAAGCAGTTTCTAAATCCCACATCAGCCGCTTTTCATGCCATGTCTACAAAGCAGCAGTACCCGACCTCGTTAGTTGGAGTTGCATTTTATTTCACAAAGTCGTCTTCAGATTTGGAATTGGCTGGTACATTTCCTTTTCGCAGAGAATCTGATGTTCTGCATAAAAGCAACCAAGAATGTGAACTTATGGAGGCGAAAATGTTAAGGCCTGGTACTTAAGTTTAGGTGTATGCTAAAGTATCCCATGTAGTCAAAATTTTTGGAGCCTTCTACTACAGTGTCTTTCATAATGATATAATTTCGGGATGTCAAATCTAGCCAATTATTGTTAATATAACAGTGTGAACATAGATGCCTTATCCGAACAACCAAAGGCCGCAGCTTGCAAAGTATATGAGAAAGTATATAGTTCTAGAATAGTGGCACTAAATTTTTGCAGCTCCAATGCACGCCGTTTGTGTTCTGGGTCATGCAGGAGGTACTAGTTTTAACACACGGTCTTGTACTCATGGTTTGCATGCCACACTTGTGGCATTACAGTGACTACAATAAATATCATTGTGAGATGGTACGTAAATTTGAATTCATCTTTGTATGCACATTTTTTAAAATTCTTTATTTAAATATGAATAGTAGCAAATTTGCTCTGGTGATTGGCAGTCAAGACTGCTTGCCAAGCAACTTAAGAGCCTCTTTGTGCCACGACTGATCTTCAAACAGCATAGCTCCTTTGTTCTCCGCATGCGAAAATGCCATAGCTTGTTGCCCGAATGGTTATTCTTGACATCTCATTGTAGTAAACATTGCCAAAATTACATGAAGTTTCTCATCGTTAAAGAAATGTGACTTATGGCCTGACATTCAGCAGTGTTATGCCAACATTTGCACGCAATATTGAAGTAATGTTGCGAAACTGTGATAGATATTGGCCCATGTTCAGCAACGTGGACCAACATGGACCAGCATTGCCGCCACAAATAATTTATGTTCGTTTTTTTTAGAGCGCTGCCTTTGAGCGCTCATTACTGTATTGAGCACTGGTGAAGTAACTGAGAGACACGAAAAAGGTGTCATGTTATGTATGGACTTGCATTAACCTGTGGAATATAGTATAGCAGGAGAGTAAACTAACAACAGTTATCGTAAAATGTTAATAGCTCAATGAGTGTGTGATTGACTGCTTCCCACCCTCTGCCACAATTGTTCGTTGTCATCAGCCACATGCAACATCAACTAAGGCGGGATTCACTTGAGGGAAAAATATACGGGGGATAAAGGCGGAGCCTAGTGACGTCAACAGGCGAAGATAAGTCCCCACAAAAATCCCTTACTCACACTGACAAGGCGAACAGTGTGGGAGATCAGTGTGGCCAGAGCCTCCACCATATAATGGAGCGGGAGCGCTGAAGGATTCTTTGATCACAGCCATAGATATCGGCAAGCTTTCATCTTGGAGGGGTTTCAAAGCCGCGTTGTCTTGACTGGAGAAGGAGGAAAGCGCTGGTGTTTCTGGGTCAGAAAAGTGCGAGTGTGGTCGAAAGAAGTGCCCGTTTTGCACTCACCTGCTGCCTTGCTGCTTTTAGAAACTTTCTTGTTTATATGTCATTTTTTGTGCGAAATGCAGATGCGGCGTTGCTCTTGGTTGACTCGCCACCACAGGCTTTTTTTTTTTTCATAAACGAACTCACCGAAAACGACATTGCGGGCTGCGTCATTGACAACGGCTTTTTTTTTTTACTTACGAAATTACTCACAGATTCTATGACTCGTCAATACTACTATTGAGTTGTTCGATAGCAATTTCAGTATCTTTCAAAATTGGTTGGCTTCCGTGAACGAAGAAATTATGCTATCATAGCATTTCTCTCATGAGAACAACCGAGAATGAAAGGGATCTTGCCTATTAATATTTGATAATTATCTGCACAAGCTTTTCATTATAAGTTCGAAACACATTGTAATAGAAGACCAATTCTGTCTCACTATGTGAACTCGCCTAAGATTCTGCTGTATCAGTGCTGTTGATAAAGTAAATGTGAAGTATTTCATGTTTCTGAAAATATAAAGCAGCTCTCAGATTCAACTGCTGCCTATATTGTAGGTGTCCAATCTTGAATAATGAGGCCCGTTAGAAAAATTTCGTTATAAAAAAAGACATCTCCACCAGGCTGAACAAGCGGTAGCAGCATCAGTAACAACAACAAAAGCAGGCGATGTCACAATTCTTATCAGAAGAACCACTTTAAAACAAAACTAAATATCACTTCATAGAGATGGTAGTGCTCCATCATCTGTTTGACTATAGTCTCTCACACACCATTCTTTAGGTTAGTTTTACTATAGTCATCTGCAGGGATGTCCCACAAGTGATGATATTCTTTCACGAGAGAAAAGGAAAAAAAGGTACTTCGTCGTTCATTTTTGCCATCACGTTGCACGCAAGTCCGGAGCATAATTTGGAACATCCACCGCCGCCGGGCTTTGCAGGCACTGCAGGAGAGGGGGCTAGGATGTGGCCAGAGACCACCCGAAATTCCACTACATCCCCCGCTGCATGGGGAGTCGTTCGACCGTTCGGAGAAAACGATCACCGCCTCCCCCGAGGAGCCGCAAGAAGGTTGCATCGACACACTAACCCGTGACGTCGTTGTCTCATGTGATGCGCCTCGCCTCTCCTCCGGGGATTTCTCCCTCATGTGAATCCCGCACAATACCGTACAATACCATACAAACGTGTAGCGGGTACCTCGCACAGAAAGGTGAATAATAGCATGGTGGGTGCTGTTCTAGTTCACAAGAACTTATGATTGGTGATGATAATGATTGAAACTTTATTGGGGTCCAGAAAAAACGCAGGTGAGACCTTGCACCACTTGGCTAGTCTTACGTAGAGACTGCCAAGCCGAGCTTTGTGGCCTGTTCACGGCGGAGTAGTGCATACTTATGGAAAGCCAAAACTTCAAACACAGCTGGCCTTGCCCTAACACGAAGCTCGCCAACGTAATTCGCATAATTATCGTGATCGTCGATGAGTATTTTTTTGTTCAAGTTTTTACAGGACCCCTGGCAGCGAAAGTTTTGTTCGTGACATTTTTGCAGTAATTTGTAACTTTGTGTCTGGTAATGCCAAAATTGAATTGTGAATACTCTACCCTACTAATTTTGTGTCAGTTCAAAATGCCTGCATAAATACCATTAGGAACTAGCGCCTCACACCGGGGCAGTGTCCGAGAGCCATGAGCGTGTGCACCTGGGGAGAGAGAGCGAGAGGAGGGCGCAAAGTCGGCCACTTTACCCATACATGATAAGAAGGGGGTGCTACCACAAACCATAGCTTTGAAGGGTAACCCTGCACACTCTATATGCCTAGAACTATAACACTGTCAGTTCAAGCGCACGAATAAACAGAAAGGAAGAGAGCCCAACATAGCCCAACTTTCGATTCTGTTGCCTGAAACTATAGTTGCTCAAGGTTGGTGTCGCTCAATGCACTGTTTTCAAAAAAGGGGATTCAAGGGCGGTGAAGAATGAAAGGATGGGATGTGGGTACTTTGAGCGTGTGCCCCTCAGAAGAAAGAAAAACAATCCTGGAGTAGGCAGCGAGGAAACCCACCTTGACAGCAGCTAACAGAGCTAGAGCGGTGACTAACAATAGTCATCGCCGGGTGTCATTTGGGCTGTTGTGCGTGCCCTGCAAATGTTCTCTGATGCCGACAATACTTGCTTGACCTCTGCAACATCACTAGGCAGTTACGTCAAACCACAGAAAATTAGGGGATCCTAAGACATCCTGTTCCTAGTGCATACTTCAACATTTAGTGTATGAAACCTTTTCGAACTTTTTTTGCACCCACTATGTGGCCTTAAGAGAATAGGTGCAGTAGTGTGTGTGCTTTTGTAGCGGGTAATTGGTTTGAACCACGAAGCCACTATGATTATCATGTGTTCTGGCGCCTGCTGGCAAAGGGCGCTTGTACAACACATTTCAGTTTCAGTTTTTATTGAGCATTTTCTTCACGAAGTTGTGAAAAGAAAACGCAAGGATAAGAGCAGAAAGCTGCTATGTTAGCAGTTTGATGAGGCTCCTACCTCTTTTCAATTGGCATTACAAATCCGCAGAGCACAAACATGAAAAAACAATTTGACGTCCATTTTCAAAACTTCAAGAAATTAGGAAATAAAAAGAAAATGCATCACAATTATATCAGTTTCAGGTTTACATGAAATAAGCAAACTACAAAGAGAGAAAAACAACAAATAAAACAAGAAAACAGCGTGCGGTCAATCATGAAACAATGCACACGTTGCTAAACGGCTAACAAAGTATTACAAAAATAGTTTGCCATTACTGCAATGTTGATGCA